GGCAGCTTTCAGGACCTGGCACAGAGGCCAGCCTGGGCGTCCAGAGAGGCCGTTCCCTGATGGGGGGAATTGCAAATCGCCCCTGTAGTGAAGTCATGGAAAGGTGCAGCAGCCCCGAGGACTCAGTGAATTGGGTCTCGTTTCTGTGCCGTGTGTCCGAGCTCCTGCAACCACAGCGTCACTGCTGCCCGAACAGGTTCGAGGGGAACTGAGGGAGTCCCTGTCAGCGCCACCCTGCACTGCTCCTCCAGCCAGGCTGCCACACTGCCCAGCGCCAGGCCTCAAACCGGGGGAGCAGGTCGGGCTGGGGCTGCCTCCTGGGGACTCGGTGTTCCGGAACGAGCCTCGAGGCACCTGCGGTGCTCTGGCTCGGAAGAGGCAATGCTCTTGTGCCACCACTGCTCATGGTGTTTGGGGTTGCGGAGAGAGCTCCTTCCACCAGATACTGCTTAACCATGCTGACTGGAAACTGTCAGCACCCAGCACCTCTGGCAGCAAAGGCTACGCCGAAGCAGCATGGTTCTTTGATCTTGCCGTGTCCCCTGGACTCTACCTGAGCTGGAAGGAGTGATGTGTGTGTGTTTCTGTAGGGTCCGGAACAGAGTCTGACAGTGATGAATCTGTACCAGAGCTTGAAGAGCAAGATTCCACACAGGCCACGACACAGCAGGCACAGGTAGGGCAGACGGCACGTGCCAGCGCATCCCTGCACCCGGCAGCGGCGAAGCAGGATCCCTGCTGGTGCCGGCCGCCGCCACCTCGGGATTGTCATGAGTCCCTCTTGTTTTCTGTCCTTGCAGCTTGCAGCAGCAGCCGAAATAGATGAAGAACCCGTTAGCAAAGCAAAACAGAGCCGGAGCGAAAAGAAAGCACGGAAGGTGAAGTGGGGCAGTGGCTGGACCAAACTCATGTGCCGCAAACAGCCTGCCTGCGGACAGCTGAGCTTTGCCTCAGGGTCTGGCACGGTACCCCGGAGTGCCGGGGTCTGCGCCCCGCGAAGCCTGTTCAGGGCTGTGCCTCCTCACCTCCCGCCCCTGCGCGGCACAGCCGGGCCTTGGGGAGCCGAGGGAGGTTTGTGTGGCCTCCTGTCCCTCCCTGGCCCCCAGGCAGGGGGATGCCCCTTCTCAGGCAAAATCCTGGTGTCTAGGGGGGGCTTGGGGTCATGCTGTGGATCTCACCAGTCCTGGGAGGTGAGAGTTCCCTCCCAGGCTCCTAGTGTGCTGTCAGGCTACCAGCCCAGGAACGCTTCTCTGTAGCCATAAAATGCACATTTTCATTTGTGTGAGCGCACTGATCATCGGACCTGGGTCTCTGGAGGGCAGATGAGCAGACGCATCTTTTCAGGGCCTGGGCTGTCTCAGTAACTTCTTTCCCTCACTTACCTTCATTTTGGGTTTTTCAGGCAATGTCTAAACTGGGCCTTCGCCAGGTGACAGGAGTAACCAGAGTCACTATCCGGAAATCTAAGAACATCCTCTTCGTCATCACAAAGCCAGATGTGTACAAGAGCCCAGCATCAGACACCTACATAGTCTTTGGCGAAGCAAAGGTGAGCTGACCACGTAGTGTCTGGCGGCGGTGTTAATCCACACTCGCGGCAGTGGGGCGGCAGGCCGCTTAGCTGGGGTTCCTCCTTGCCACCTGAGCGCTGGTGGCGAGTCCCAGCTGCTGCATGTCCCGTCCCCCCCCGAGGGATGTGGGCAGGCCTGGGGTCCGTGCCGAGGGCCGGCTTCCCGGCTGGGTTGTGCGGCAATGCTGTTGGATGTGCTGGCACCGCTGCAGCGCAGGGAGCAGAGCTGTGGCGCTTTGAGCCTGTGCGCTGATGTCTCATGCTGCGCAGGGCTGGGCTCACTTAATGCTTCTTCTCTTCTCCAGATCGAAGACCTGTCCCAGCAGGCCCAGCTGGCAGCTGCCGAAAAGTTCAAAGTGCAAGGAGAAGCTGTTTCAAACATCCAAGAAAACACACAGACCCCCACCGTGCAGGAGGAGAGCGAGGAAGAAGAGGTACATAACGCCTTCCCCACCATGTCCCTGCAGGGCTGGGTGCTTCACAGGCTGTAGGCCCACTGCATTAACGTGTCCTGGAAGCATCCGGAGTTTGTGTTAAGACCCGTGGTTTTCTTTCTTTCGTCCACGTCTTCGCCATGACAGCAAAGGGAGAGCACAGGGTCCTTCCCCTGGATCCCAGGCACTGCCAGGGGACTGTCCCCAGGGCTGGCGTGCCCCATCTTGCCTCCCAGCTTCGTCTGTGTGGCCTGAGTGGGAGCTGCCCCAGGCCAGATGATCCCGTTTTCCTCTGCCAGGCACGGAGCAAACCGTGCGTCGGGCTGGCGTGAATCCCAGGCTCTGTCTCCTTTAGGTTGACGAAACCGGCGTCGAGGTGAAAGACATTGAGCTGGTGATGTCGCAGGCGAACGTGTCCCGAGCAAAGGCAGTCCGTGCCCTGAAGAACAACAGTAACGATATTGTAAATGCGATAATGGTGAGTGTCTGCCTGTCTGTGCGACGCGGCCCCGGGGAGGAGGGAGAACGGTTTGTGGTGGGACGTCCCTGGGGGTGGTGGTTCCCCGCAGCCGTGGTGCCAGATCCCAGAGGCCGGGCTGTGGGGCTCTGTGCCACCGGCAAGGCTGGCTTCTAATGTGTTTTTCTCTCTGCAGGAGTTGACGATGTAGCTGCCAGAGGGAGGAGCCTTTTTTGGTGTTTCAGAGAAGAGTAAAATGCAACTAAATTTAAAATTTGTACTATTTCTATCAATTAATAAAAGTTGTGGCTTATTGTTGGTGAAACACTTTCTGCTTCGTGTTGGCTTTGCTGCCCTCCCCTCCCTGATAGCTGAGGCCGCAGGGTGGAGCCTTCCTCTGGGGAAGATCTCGGCCCCGATACCCGTCCTGTCCCACCCCAGCGGAAGAACACCTGCCCGGTCCCTCATTTCCTTCCTGTCCCCAAGGTCGGCTGGCCGTGAGCCCCAGGGTCAGCACCGTGCCTGGGGCGCCGAGCTCAGCCCAGGCTGTCTCCCTCCGCAGGGGG